TAAAATGAGGACCCAGATTGTTGGGGGCAATATGCTGATTCTCTGTAAACTGCTTAGAGAGGGCTGAAAGCCCTATGAAGCGGTATATAAGTCTAACTTGCTATTGAGGGGAAGCCAGGGCGGGTGGGCTCTTGCCTGAAGCTGGAGCAGACCCCCAACACTGCTCACAGCTGCTTTGGGGACTACTGCTGACCCCTCCCTGAGCAGTGCTAGCCTCAGGGCAAGGGTCATTTGCCCGAGGCCCTTTCTGCACCCAAGGGGCTGAGGCCCTTTCTGCACCCAAGGGGCTCTGGCCAGGCAGACCCACTTGGCTGGAGTGGCACACCTCAAGGCCCGCCTCTCCCGGTCCTTTCCGTCTTCCTTGGCTGGGTTCTTAGCTGCCCTTCCGGCTTCTTCCTTGCAGAATAGATCGGGAGGGGCCCATTCCCCACAATGCCCCCAGCCCCACTTGCTGACCTGCTAGAGCTGGAGGGAACACAGTTCTTGATTGGCTGGAGATTATGGGAGATGCAGGTTCATCTGACCGAAGGTAGAACCGGGGCACCTGGTGGGGTGGGGGAAGAATAGGGAGCGCCAACTCTCTGAACGAGCAGAAGGGCCGGAGGCAGCCTTACCTGGAGCCGAGGTGGTACAGTGGTTAAATGCAGCACTGCAGTTCAGCAGTTTGGCTGTTCAAATCCCACCAGGCTCAGGGTTGACTCAGCCTTCCATCCTTCTGAGGTGGGTAAAATGAGGACCCAGATTGTTGTTGGGGGAAATATGCTGACTCTAAACCGCTTAGAGAGGGCTGAAAGCCCTATGAAGCGGTATATGTCTAACTGCTATTGCTATTACCCTTCCCAGTGTTGGCCGCTTTCCCTTCAACTGGTTTGAGTGCAATGCAGCAGAGCAGCCCAGAGGGGCCAAGGACAACTGGGGGGTGCTGCCTGCTGCCCCCTCCGGATCCAGGGCTCTCTGTGGGTGATTATATTCTTGTGAAAATCTGCAGCTGGGGGTGGGTTGGTTCAACGTCTGGGGGGGAGGGCAGAGTTGCCGAGCCCCAACAGGACCCCTTTTCTGCCTCCAGTCATGCGTGTTATTGCCTGCCGGTTTAGCAAACCAAGTTTATCTAACTAAGCCCTGGATTCTCATTATGCCGCCCCCCCCACCCCCCAAAAAAGCAGGAGCTCAGCGCACGGACATGCAGGTCGGGCCGGCCTAAAATGTGCTCGGGGCTTCATGAGCCAAGGTGGCGCAGTGGTTAAATGCAGCACTGCAGGCTGACTGCTAGATCAGCAGTTCAGCGGTTCAAATCTCACCGGCTCAGGGTTG